GAAGGACACAGGAGGAAAAAAATAAAATAAAATAAGTAGACAGTAAAAGATATAGGTCTATACGTATTGTTGATCTCTTCCTATTAGAGTTTTAGAAGACTGTATCTTCCAAGAAACTTGCCCTTTTCATCTATGTCATCAAATTTGTAAACATAAAGAGAGTTGTGCATAATATTCCTGCATTATCTTTTTAATGGCAGTGAGATCTGTGATGATGTTTCCTCTTTTATTTCAGAAACTACTAATTTCTGTCTTTTTTCCCTTAGTTTGACTATAGACTAATCAATTATATCAGTCATCTCAAAGAACTCACTTTTGATTTTGTTGACACATTGAATAAATCAATAATTTCTATTTTCAATTTCTTTGATTTTTGTTCTAATGTTTATTATCTTTTTCTGCTTAGTTTTTTTCTTTTTATATTTTTATTGAGAAACAAATAGCAATAAGATAGTTTCACAACCTATTACTAGTACATTTTCAATAATTAATAGATTGCATATTGTTGTCTTAGTGGTTATTCATTGTACAAGATGCAGACTTGATATCCTGTCTCAAACACTATTTGAGCAAACCTCTCTACTCATTGAATTAAGGGAATAGAGCTGTATATCTATCCTATTTTGAGTATACAGATACAAAGTGATCGTTCATTTCTTTTTTTCCATAAATTTATTGAGAAACAAATAGCAATGAGACAGTTTCAAACCAAACTGGTAGGACAGTTTCAATAATTAATACATTGTATGCATTCTTCCTAGTGGTTAATTGCTGTACAAGATGCAGACATGCTATCCTACTTACAAACACCATTAGAACAAATCCCTCTATTCATTAAGAGAATGTAACTTATATCGATCCTAGAAAAAAATAAATTAAAATGACACTCACAGTGGTGATAACAAGGAAAAACTAAAAGTACAAAAAAATAAAATAAAAGTGCAAGATGCTGTGAGAACATGAGAAAAGGCAGTGTGAGACTCTCTAGCTCAAAGAAATAGGTGAGAATTTACCCACAGTAGTTTGAATAACCCAAAGGTATTACCCAGACAATGTCAAAATTGTATTAATGTCACAAAATGTAGTTTGAAGCAAAGGCATGTGCATGTGCTGTGCACAGAGAGGTGGCATTGGCAGCCACTGTCTGAGTGTAGACCACTAGGGATGATGGAGGCTTTGAGAAATTTATCACTCTTGTGCCTGGAGAATTCTAGTTAAGATGTTTCAGCACCACTCAGGTTTGAGGAACATTCTAAGTGAAATTTGAGTTTCCTTATATTTCAGATAAGTCCATACTGCTGTCCTTAGGGATTTTTGAGGAAATAGAATGTATCTCATACATATTTCCTCACATCAACAAAATCTGTGAAAGATTTGAAATAGTTAAAAATTATTTATCAATAAAAAATGATTGCCTCTGTGAGCAAAGCCTTTAATAATTCACATACACAGAGGCCAGACAGCACGAGCTCCAAAGGCTCAGGGTCAAACAACAGGAAGCACCATGGAGGGTCCTAACACATCTACTTCTTGTTCATGACACACAAAATTTGGTGGAAAATTTATGCACAATCTGCAAACCAATCTACCATTTCCCTGGGCTTTTGTGTGAAAAGAGGCAGGTTACACTAGGTGAAGAAAAAACTTTCCCACATCTCAACATGACACAACTTATCATTTTAAGATTCAATACAGAACATATAATTTAATGTTTTATCATTTTAAGTTTTTTATTTTTGTTGTCTTTTTGAGACAGGGTCTTACTATACAGTTCAGACTGGCCTTGAACTCACTTTGTAGCGCAGGCTGGTCTCAAACTCACAACGATCCTCCTAACTCAGCCTCCCAAGTGCTGGCATTACAGACTGGTCTGTGCCATCAAACCCAGCTGGAATATATAATTTGTAGGACACTTTTATAATATTTATCCACAATGGTCAGATGTAAGGAAGTGTAGGTCTGTCCACACACCAGACATTCAAGGAAGCCAGTGGAGGGCCTGAATCTTGCAGCAATATCCTGTACAAGTTCTGCTGAAGAGCTAAAGCTGATAGAAATGTCCTCCACAATTCTACCTGGATGCTTAGAGGCCATGACGATGCTTCATGCAAGTCTGTGTGAAGGGTTAATGTGAAATTAATGTGATGAGTTAATATAAAACTAAATGTAAAAAATTACTCAACTTTCTGTGACCCTGCTTCCTTATAAGATTGCAAGGAGGCTTGGTGTACCATCAATAAATCATGAATAGACTGAGAGTTCCCAGAATAGGCTTACAAAATAAATCAAAGTAAAGGTCAAAATGTTTCTAACTGTACAAATCCAACTGAAAAGCATTGCTGTGGTAATCAAGACCACTTATACACAGATGTATGTTAAACGAAGAACTAAACAATTCTCCCAGAAAGAATGTATGCTGAGTAATGGTCACACTGTCCCTAAAGGTACTGTTCTATGTTAAATGACAAATTTGTTTGCCAAACAGGATGTGGTTTCTACCCCTAAAACCTCTATACTTCTAAGGCTCCTAGCCATTTGTCCTCTCCTGTGTGAGTATGGCCAAGTGGTACTGGGCCCGATAATAAAGGCTCATAAAATTTAATAATTGGATTTTGGTCTGGTTTCTATGTTGAGAACCCATAACAGTCTGTATCCAAGATATGCACTGAGAAAGCCCAAAACTCAATAGTGGAAGCTAGAAAGTCTGTGCCAGAAGGGTGAAGAATCTGTGACACCAGGCCTAAAGATCTGCCCTGAAACCAGGAAGCAACACTAAAGATAAGGAACAAGATCACCCAAAGAGAACAACAGCCATTCACAGTAACAATGAGGACCTGAGCTGCTCTGATGAGAATAAAAACTAAGCTCACATCAAGGAAGCCAGTGAAAGAATTTTCTCCATGAGAACCAACCATATAAAATCTTCCCCTCCAGTTCTCAATTCATGATGAAGGCTACAATCCTTAGGTGGGTCTTCCACATCCAAAATCATGCTAACTCAGTTCACCTGGGTGTTCCAAGATGAACACTGCTTTATCCATCCCACCACCAAAGTGGCAGTTTTGCTCTTTTTTACACTTAGAATCGAAATTGAACCTTATAGAATCTAGATCTTGGCGTACTCCCTGGATGAACCTTCAAAAAGCAATAATAAGAAAACCTGTGTTCATGCAGATGAAAGGACAAGCAACAAATGCCCTCATAAAGTAGTCTTCACAGTTGCCTTAACAAACCTCTCAATAGGCAAACTTGATGATCTGTTTGTTGTCTGTGTGTGTGTGCTACACTCTCCCTAATGTGGGCATGAACATGAATCTGTAGGCATCTTTGCACAGCTGGGCACTGATATTTCTGCTTTGTTTCAGTTTTCACATTGTGGAATATCCAGGATATGAATATGCCATGGCAGATGTGTACAGGGCATGTAGCATGTCTCTTCTGTCAAGTGAAACTATTTTCTTCCATAGATTGTCCATTCTTTACAACTTTGATATAGCTTTCAAATATTTGTCATACAATACTCAGTGTCCTGGGAACTTAGAGAGTTTTCTTGGATCAAAGAGGAGTCACAGCCTTTCCTTACCATTTAATAGGGGCCCTGCCCCTTAGCTCAGTTCTTTAAGTGGCTACTTCAACAAAGCAGTCAGGCTCAGGGTGCTGTGGTTCGATCCCCACAACTCAAGCCAGCCAATCATGCCCTGAAGGCATTCAGAGGAAAAAAAAAACCCTTACCATTTAATATTCAGTGCAAAGCAGATGAATATAGACCAAGGCAGCTCACAATGCATGGCCATAATAAAGGTGGTAGTATACTGGATATGAGAAAGTCAGTGGCCAAAAGATTTCCTTTGCAAAATAAATACATCCAGAGAGCAAGATCACACCACAGAGGAAGGATTGAAGAGTCACTATTGGAGAAAGTGACTATTGGAGCAAAGAGAACAGAATTCCAGACAAATGCTTCAGTAAAAAGATGGCTGAGAGACATGTTAAGGGTCATAGAATTGAGTCTGGCCCTTGTCTTCCTGGGAATGCTCTAACTGATACTACATACCCTCAAATATTATTCTACAAAGTGACTTATGTCTACCAAAGTCTTAGTGAAAAGACCACAAGAAACAAAGCCAAGTTGGCATGGTATTTACTTTCTATGACAGTTGAATTCAGAGTGCCTAAAGCTCTGCAGAACCACTCTCTAGACAACCCTTTTGATGATAAGTGGAACACTGCTACTCTCTCTACTTTGGGTGTTTCACTCACCCAATTCACCACTGCTAGGAAGAATGATTTTGTATTGTGTGAGGAGAACCTTATTTTAAATGAGTAAAAGTAATACCTAGGGGCTGGGGAAATGGCTCAGTGGAATAAGCACTTCCCTGGCAAGCGCAAGGGCCTGAGTTCAATCCCCGGTTCTGAAAAAAAAAAAAAAAAAAAAGTAATACCTAGAAAAAGATTGTACCTTATCCAGGTCACTGCCAATAAAGCAATAAATGCAGCTTGACTAGTACTGAGGTCTCTGTCTAGGTGCCTGAAATTTCAAAAGAGAGTACCAGCATCCATGTAGTATCTGGACTAAGTTATCATAATTCAACATTCCCTTAAATTTCATATTTTAGAAACTGAATATCTAATAAACACATTTGAGTTATAGGACCTCTACTGGGTGGTGAGGACATTTTCTCTCCTGAAATGGATGATATTTGTTATGGGAAAGTGGATGACAAGTGCTTAGAATGAGCTTCTAACAACAGTACTCACTTATTCTATCACCTGCGTGGTTACACAGCATTGAAGAACATAAATGGGCCGGCCAGATAGCTCAGCAGACTAAAGCACCTGATTACTCAGAGCACAGTGGCCAGGGTTTGATCCCTGGTGTGCCATGCTGGCTTCAGCCCCAAGATGCATTAAGACAGCAATTGAAACTGTGTATGGTAGCTTGCTCCTGTAATCCCATCACTTGGAAGGCTGAAAACAGGAGAATCACTATGAGTCCGATCTGTGTAGTAAGAACCTGTGTAGACCCTGTATACCTTGTACTAAATTCATTTTTAAAAAGAACATACCATACAATCTGGGCTTAGAGACACACACCTGTAATCCCAGCATTCAGAAGGCTGAGGCAGGAGGATCACCAAGAGCTCAAAGCCACCTAGTGTCAAGGCCAGCCTTGAGTTCAAGGCAGCCTGTTTTATACAGTCAGACCCTGTCCCAAAAAATAAACAAGGAACAACAAAAAGTATAATGTGGCTACATTACTCACTAATTTTTATTTCATGCTTTTGCTGGTAGAGTACATTTCATCTCTTTATTAATTTCCCTATGTGTGACATTCTGTTATAGGAATGAATAATAGACTCCAGCATACATCTTCATGATTGGAATAGGAAAGCAGTCATCCTAATCCAAAATGTCAAAGAAAGCAATGATCTTGGTAGTGGGAATGTCAGCAGGATGAGGCTGAGTGCACAGAAACACTTTAGGGAGGGACACTAAATTTTATTTTTTTATATTAATTTTATTGAGAAAAGAAGTAGCAATGAGACAGTTTTAAAACAGGCTAGTAGGACAGTTACAATAATTAATACATTGCATATTGTTGTCTTTGCAGTAGTTATTCATAGTACAAAAAGCAGACATGATATCTGGGACACTAAATTTTAATTTTATTGAAAAAAGTAAAACAGAATTTGATAACAAAATAATAGGATAATAATAATAAGTAATGCATTGTATATTGTAATCATTGTATATTGTATACTTGAGTATTTACTCAGAGTACAAGATATGGACATGAAAATTCTCCAATTAATATTAGCATGAACCTTCCTTTTAAATGAACTAAGAGACACTAATAGTATAGTTAACTTGCATTTTTTTTCATTTTTCCCTTTCTTCCCTCCCCCTTTCCACTGTTCTAGTTCCTTTTGCTTTTTAAACTATCCCCATTTTCCAATATCGTATATTTTAGACCTCATTTACTCTTTAAATTTTTCACAACAGAAAAGCAATATGTTTACACATGTGAGCATGGTTTACTCATTCATGAGTATGATCACAAGTTGCACGCATTTACCTATAAATATCTGAATATTTTCCTTCTTTATGAAATATATATGTATGTATGTATGTATGTATGTATGTATGCATTTGAGGGTACCAGGGATTGAACTCAGGACCTTTTGTTTGCCAGAGAGGTGCTTATGCCAGTGAGCTATCTCCCCAGCCCTTAATGGATACTATATGAAAGAATTAAATCTCCCACTTGGAGAAGACAAGCGACTGCAGAGTATGAATATGCTACCTGGAGACACACTTGCATTTCAGTCTATCCCTAGCTATGAGAACTTTAGACATTATTGAATTTTTTGTTTCAGGTGCTTCATCAGGAAGAGCAAAGCCCATCAGATTGTACTTTGAAAGGAATCTAATGTATAGACAATATCCTGCATATTGGAAGTACTCACTGTCTGTTCATTCCAGGGCATTCAATTCAGGCTTGGAACTTTGATATTGTTGTTAAATGAGCAATTATAGTCTATGGTGTAAAAATTTAGAAATAGGTCAAAAACATGGGAAATGCTAGATGTTGGGTATGCCAAGTTCATGGTCCCCAAAATCAAAGGATGAATTCCAAGGAGCAACAGAGGTTAAGCATAGGAATATCTGCTGGAAAACGTAAATAGGAGAAAGGATTATGGAATATCTGCTGAGAGACAGGAGATCTTGAATAGGTTGCCAGCAAGCCCACCTCTCAAAGGAACTTTTATAGGGCAAAATCATAAGGTGGGTACAATGTGGATCAAAGCTATGATTAATCAATAAGATGAAGTCAGGGAACATGGATACCATCATTAATCTTTCTCGATAATCCACAGTCTTAATTTAGCCTTTAATCTGAGTAATTTTAGTGTTTCTGGTTTTAGCCTTAGCCCTAACCTTAGTCTCAGTCTTAGTAGGGGTAGATGGGAGCCCATCACTCATCAGATAATGAGAAATCTCTAAGTTTGACACCAATAATCTTCAGTTTCTGTGTATACCTGAGGGAAGAATATAAACTCGCCACTGTGACTTTGATCTTCAGATGTTCTTCCAGACACAGTTTTGATAAGTTCTTCCCTGCTCTACTGACACTCTTAAGTATGAAAATATTGCTTACAGTGTCTTTTGACTTTTAATGTTTCCTTTGTCGAGTCTCTTTTTAATTTAACGGCTGTCCACCTTATTCATGAAAAATTTGGACAGTTTCAGTTCATGGCATCTACATTAGCTTTCAAAAATCTATGATCCTTTTCTTAAGTCCTTATCTTCCAAAAATTTCTAATTTTCAATTATATATCATTGTGAGAAACAATAAGCCATATGGCATAGTTACCTAACACATGGAATAATATCATATATCACAATACAAATGTCTGAGTTACCCCAAAACTCACACACTGAAACTTACTTTCCAATGTGATGGTATGAGGAGGTTAGGCAAGTCCTTTGCAAACCACTGATATCTCTGAGCCAGAAATCTCAATAAAAATATATTTTCACTGAGGCTGGAATCTCAAAAATAATACAAATTCACTTATAAAGTTGAGCAAAAAAACAAAAAACAAAAAAAACCCCAAAACTTGTCCTTATCTCCTGCTATATGAGAACTTAGCAGGAAGTCACCATCTTTAAAAACTCAGTAATTTATAAATGCATTGATCATAGAGTTCCCCACATCCTAACAGGGCAGGAATTATATTTCTGTTATATTAATTTGAATATAGAATGACTCCTAAACACCATGTACTGAAGTCCTGGTTTCCAGCTACATGGTTGTTGTGAATGTAACATTTCCAGGCACTTTCTGACCTCCTCAGTCAAGTAATTTGCAAGAGTGAGGAGGTCACTCTGGTTGTCCTCTGGCACAGTGGGCACTATGTATAGCCCTGCTTTTGTTATTGCTTCCTGGATGGCAAGGGCAAACAGCTTACCCCTGTCACGTCACTAATGCCAATTTTAAACAATTATGTTTGTTTGCCTCTTATACTCTTTTTGTTTTTCTATTTTCTTTCAGTTTTTAAAGGCATAGTGTCACTTAGTAGTTCAGGTTGGCTTTGAACTCACTATGTAGCCCTGGTGGTTCTTGAACATACAGCCATCCTCCTGCCTTAGCCTTTTGTGTGCTGGGAAGAGATGTATGCATGGACACATCTGGCTGCTTGTCATTTTTCTTTCTTATTTTCAACTTTTTCTGTGTAGGCATTTAATCTAAGTCTTTCATATGTCCCAAAACTTTTCTGCAGATTAACTGCAGTGCTAGGCCTCAATATTTTCTAGCTTAAAATATATTAGAATACTTGACTCTTTATTATGTTCATCCTTCTAATAAAGTCTGCCCTAGATTCAGGGTAGGCCAGACTTACCAGGCCTATCATGTCTTTCTCACTGGTCTTCCTTCCTCATTATCTATAAACAACCCATTTCTAGCTCTCAGCTCATAATACTGATGCTCATTCAAATTTGACTCATATCCTTATCTCCAGTGTTCCTGGACTCTGGAATAGTCTGGCCTAGCATCGCCAGTACATCAGAAATGGACATACATCTCCTGAGCCCGTATGCTCCTATTTAATGCATCAATGTGCACACTGATCTTTTAAGGAGAGAAGTTAATGAATTTACATTATATGTATTTCATAGCTGTTTCCTCTTATTTCAAATAAAACAAATATTTCTGGTCAGGCATGGTGGTAGATACCTATAGTCCCAGTATTTAGGAGGCTGAGATAGGAGAATCACTTTCAGCTCAAATTCACCTGGGTTACAAAGTGAATTCAGGTCCAGCCTTATCTTAGTTACTCTTTTCTCATTGCTGGGACAAATGCCCGACACCCAAAAAGAAGGAAGGAAAGGTTTATTCGGCTCACAGTTACTGAGGGTTTCAGTCCCTACTCAGCTGGCTCCAAGACAGAGCAGCACATGCAGAGAGCATCCTTCCATGGCAGCACCAAAGAGCAAGAGAGCAAAATGGAGAAGGAACAGCAACAGTGGCAACAGAGAGGAAGTTTGTCTCTGTCTCTCTTATGTTACATTCAGGCTGTTCATTTCAGGCTGGGTGTAGCACTCCCACTCATAGTCCCAGAAGTACTCAAACCCATAATCCCAGCCTTGGATCATCCATAATCCCAGTGGTTCATGAGTTAATCACAAACTCTAGAAGTCTGCCCCTTGACTGCATGAGGCTTTGGGGGAACACCTACAGACAAACCATGACAAGCCTGAACTTCACAATAAAATCCTGTCTCAAACACACACACACACACACACACACACACACACACACACACACACACAAATCCCTAATATTTCTGATATCTTTGGAAAGAACTCATGAGTTTCAAACTCTTAGTACCATATTATTAGTAGGCATCAGGCGAGAATAAGAAACTAGTAAAGTACTTTCCAGGATACTGGGTCAGTAGTTTTTTTTTTCTTTTTTTGAAGATCCAGAGAAAGCTCGTAAAATATTATTGCAAATGTAAACAG